GAGAATTTTCTGAGTCTAATCCTGATTGCATGGGAAATAGTACCAAAAATCAACAAATGCTATCATATCAAATTTTAAAAGCTTCTTTATAGCAAAAGAATCAACCACTGGAGGAAAGAGGCAAATTATAGAATTGGAAAAAATTTGGTAGTACAGCTCAGACAGAGGACTAATGTCAGAAACATATAAACAACTCAAAAAATTACATCCCCTGAAAACAAGAAAATCCAATCAAAGTAAGGGGAAGTTAAGTGAATAGAATAGACACTTCTCAAAAGTAAAAATGGCCAATACATACATAAAGCAATATTCAACGTGTCTGGTCATTAAAGAAATGCAAATTGAAACAACACTGAGACGTCATCTTACCCCAGAAAAAATGGCCATTATCAAGAAATCAAATAATAACAAATGCTAATGAGGCTACGGGAACAAGGAATCCTTCTATATTGTTGGTGAGAATATAAACCACCATGATCACTATGAAAATCTGTACGGAGATTTCTCAAAAATATAAAACTAGAAATTTCATTTGATAGTGCCCTTTAAGGCATCTTCTTAAAAGAATTAAAGACGTATCACAGTGATACATCCAAACTCATGTTTATAGCAGCACAATTCGTAATAGCTGGATCTTGGAGGCAGCCTGTATGTCCATCAGCACACGAATGCATAAAGAAAATGTGGGGTTTACACACCATAAAGTATTACTCTGTCATAAGAAGGATAACTTGAGTCATTTATAGGAAAATGGATGCATCTTGAGACCATAATATTGAGTGAAATAAATTTAACACATAAGCTTAAATATCATGAGATTACTATTATATGAGAAACCCAAAATATAAGAGCAATATAAAAGATAGGCAATAGGAAGTAGGGAAATAGATCTTTCACAGATAGGAAGGGAATAAAGAGATGGAGGGAGGGGCCAGGGGAGAGGGAAAGAAGATGAAAAAGAATGAAGATGTGATATGTACACATGCCAATCCTTCACAAGGAATGTAAACATAATGCACTTCACATATGTACTAGTACAAAATAAAAAGTAAAAAAATAAAGTAATGAACATGCTATTTGACATATCAAACCACACAAGACTAGAGAAATTTAAAGTTTGTAGTGAACTGATTACAAAAAGAAAACCCAAACTCAGAAGAAGCAGCGACTCGATTGATTCAAATCCTCACAATGTGGCCTAAAAGAAGAGTCATGCAACTGTTCCTCTCTGTCTTAAGGGAAATATTGAGAGATAAGGGAGAATTCTTTCTGATGTTTTTTCTCAGATAGGAGAGGCAGGGGAGAGACAGAGAGAGAGGGAGACAGAGAGAGGGAGACAGAGCCAGAGCCAGAGCCAGAGCCAGGGCTAGAGACAGAGACAGAGCGAATCATAAAGCCAACAGAGAAAAATATTAACAATTGGTAAAGAAAGATGGGTAAATGGTGTACAGGAATGTTGTGAAAAGAACATTGTAAAATATAATCTTGCATCTTCTAGGGAAAATTTGAAAATTTTTTTTGGAAAGAATCATAAAAGAGGTTAAGTGATGAAACTAACAAGTTACAGGGCAAACGCCTAAGTAGAGTTAAGCACAAGGCACAAACAAGAGGCAGTGTGTGTGTGTGTGTGTGTGTGTGTGTGTGTGTGTGTGTTCAGTAGTTAAAGCAGAAATGGAAAAGTCACAATATCAAGCAAGATGTGAGATGCAATGTGAGTATACGATGAAATACTTGGGTAAAGCAGATGAGTGCTTCTCAGAGACGGCCACTGACTCTATAAATAAAAGAGTACCATGGATAGAGTAAAAGCATGTCAAAGAGCCTTTGCAAATAAAATGGAAGTTGAGGCTGCTGTCTTTTGCAGAGAAGCAGAGAGCTCACTGCTTTGTGGATACCCTGAGAGATAAGGTGGAGGAAGTGTGCATAGGGGTTTAAGGACACATGAATACTTGTGATATCTGCCAAGCCCCAAAGAAGCAGTAAAAACTTCATGCACCAAGTCAGCAAACACTCTGAGCAGAATAACCAGAAAATATCAAATGAACAAAAGTTTTTTAAATGCACCTCTGCACCTCCACCCTCAATACATGTAAATCTACAATTCACACCAACAGCATCTATATTTGCACGCAACAATACATACATACATCTCACAATCCACACAGTCCACACAACACACATACCAGCAGTACGTATGAAATGATAGGTATGGTTACCTAAAAACGACAAAAGATTTGTCACTGGGTAAAAAGCCAATTCATGGCATCTAGTAAAGAAGTAGGGGGACACAGGAGGCAGAGCTGCAGATAAAGAGTAGAGGTCTATTATTCTTGGATTCCATATTTGTGAATTCACCTCACCAAAATTTGTCTCCAGAATTAGCCCTCTACAGCACTTTCGGGTCATTTGCTGACTGCTCCCGGAAGTGAAAATTTCGAGTTCCTGGTGCATGCTGTGATCTGAGGTCAAACCACATTCTCCCTTCCTGTTTCAGCTCCTGTACTATTAAAAGTGTCCTCTTTGCAATCTGCTTAGTGACAAAATGGAGCATTTTTGTGCTGGATGGTTGGTGAGTTTGGAATGTGAAAGGGGCCCCTAGGCACAGTATCAAAGTGTTGCCTGTTGTCCCTTAGTACAGGAAGACTGCAAAGTGTTTTAGGATGTGTCTTCCATGTACTTTGTGATGGTATGAGTTACAGTGCCCCTAACCACGAGTTCCGTGTTGATAGGTCAACCATGTATGTTAAATGTCTTTCAACAGAAATGCATAAAATTGATTATGAATTGAAAGGTGACCAGAGGTTTGCAGGAAACTAACTCTGTCTTCTCTCTGGGAGTAATGGTTTCATACTGGCTACTCCAGTGTGTTCATGGAGGTGAACCTCAAACAAGAGACACCTGTACTTGGTTAGAAAGAAAGGTACCCAATTCAAAGTGGGTTTGAGGACACAGTGTGAGGATGTAATCTAAGGGTTGTGTCAATGGAGACATGTAAGGCTGAAAACAAGCATCACAAAATGTTAACCGTCATTGAATGGTGTTGATGTGTGTGTTTGTTATTATTGGTAGTTATTTTAATTTCCTGAAGTAAAAATCCTTAGAAGGATACCACATCAGGAGAGAAGGGACTACAAGGGTGAAACTACGACTAAAAATATTTCCACACACTTCAGTATACATTCCCTAAGAGCTATGTGTGAAATCAGATGCAGGCTAAGCATTACCTCATCAAAGTAATTTGGAAAAGGGAGTAACTGTGACAGGGCCAGAGCGAGCCTTCATACACAACAGTGCTGCCCTGTCTCTGCAACAACTGTGGCACAGTACTAGCATTATGAGCTTTCATCAGTTTGAAAGAAACGTCCTGAATTTACATAGTGAGGAGATGTTGTAGTTTGAAATGCTGGTGTGTGATAGTTTATTTCTGTCTAGCAGTTAAAATCATTTCATAGCCAAAGTATAAAGCCATGATGCCGTGTCAATTAGAAATCACAGCACCCATAGTTTAAATGCTCTCAAAGAGATGTAATAGGATAGTTAGGTACTCTGCCCTAAGATAAAGCAACAGGAAGATCACCTTCCTAGTTATTCTTTTGTAATTATTGATAATATAGCCACGTATAATATCCAAATATCCCAGTTTCTCTATTCAAAATGAAAAGAATACTATTTGCCACATGAATGAGAAGGAAGAAGGGGCCTGAGATCTCTGGGAAAAGAACACTGGTGCTTGCAAAATATTCCAGTAAAATACTGTGAATAAGTTTAGCAAAGGGGAGGCAATGCAGACACAAGACTTTATGCATCCTTAGTTTCAATCTAAAGCATGAAAGAACTTATGGCAAGAACTTCATAAACACAAAAATGTCTGTCAAATACTACTATATTCACTGTTTTTGAATCATGAGGAAGTATTTCAAGAGCTATCATTCCACCCTGAATTATAGAAGGATCTTAATCAAGTACAGGAAGGGGAGCGAAGGGGTTGCTGTACTCTCATTATCTGAATTTTCTGACTGGTTGGAACTTAAGCAGAAATGTCTTGCTTCTGAAACTTCATAAATGGATCACCCAACTGCTTGGCCACTGTTTAGGAGACCACTATTACTACTGACACATTTAATATCTATTGAACAGCCATAGGATAAATGGTGCTGTTGAACGCTGTTTATTACTCTAAATCCATGTGATGCTTTAATTCTCTGAGAACAGTGAAGGTGCTGATCCTAGGTTTGGAATTTTGAGTAAATCTTGGGCACTAAAAATGCCCTATTGTCATTTATCTCTAAGTCTTAGAAAAGAAGGGGAAGTGATTAAGTACAAATACCAGGTCTATTTCAATACTTTCTTAACATACAGTAAGTGCCCATATTGCTTTACTTTGGTGAAAATCAGGGTGTGGCAAAGTATTGAAGACCTTCTGCACATGTTATTTATTACATAGTAACACGGAAAATTCTCTCCCTCATGGAAGCAATAATCCCAGTTTGAGCTAAGGGTCACACTATATTCCAGACTGCCAACTGGCTCTTTAACTGACTACTCTTAACTCATACAAAAGCATATCCTTTTTTCTTCAGGAATTTTATCTCTTCATAATATTTGTAAGGGCAAACATGATCTCCAACTCAAGATAATTCCTTTGTATTGTTGACTATGAGAGTCAAAGAGTTTGACTTTTAATCCATTTTTCTTAAAATAGGCAACACCTGCTGAGACCCAGTCACTTTTCCATCACTGATGTTCAACAGCATTTTCACACTTCAACTGACCATCAGCCTTTAGAGCCATCTCACAGTTTCTTTGGGTATCATCACACAGCCAGCTATTTAAACTAACATTCATACTCCACCATAGACGTGGAAATGTAAATCAACACTGAATGAGGACAGAAGGGCTTCAGGTTTACATTTCATTTTCATGGATGAAAGCTGATGTGACAAAGTGGATCATATCATTAGGAAAGTATAAATATTTGGAAATTCCAACAACAAAACATCTTTATATTAGTAAATGGGTTTATTGACATAACTGAACATAACAATGTATAACATTTATCCATTTCTCACTGAAAGACTTTCCAGTGAAACTATTTTAAATAGAACACAGATCCAGGAATTTGGCATTTTCAGTGATGCTCTGCAGTTGAAAGGGTGGGGGGGTATACAGAATTAGAGGTCTTTTCCAGATTTTCAATGGGAGTCAATATTCCACTGATGTCTAAAAGAAATAGCTAAGAAAGGGAATTTTACTAGGCATGAAAAAAAGCCAGAAATATGAAAGGTGCCAGATAGCCTCCTGGTAGAAAATACGAGGTCAACTCTACCTCTCCCTTGTACCCATATGCTCTGAATCTAAAACAAGGCCCGGCAGCAAACAAAGAATGACAGTCTATTTCCTGTGGTTTATTAAGTTTGGACTACACAGATAAGACTGCCAGAAAAGCAGCTGTAGTTTAAGTGATCTGGACATTTACTCAGCTGAACATAAACAAAGACCAGCTAATTTAGATCCCTGGATCCCTGCTCACTGGTTGGGATGGGGGCAGGCCTGACTCAATCTAGGCCAAACGTAAGTGGAGTGAACTGGGTTGAAGGACCCCCCAGACTGTGACGGATTCCCTGAGACACCAGGACCCTCAGGGCTGGTGGCCCTAAACAGACGATTGACTATTAAGTCTTAGCACCTCTGTAGTGGCCTCCACGGTGCTCCACTGCCAATAAATCCACAGCCACAGTAAATATAACCACAGTGCACACCCTCTGAGTGACTGTGTTTTTAGACCACACACAATTAGTAATGTAAACCCAACCACTACATTTAGTGATAAACATGTACTTCATAAATATCAGGGAACAAAACTATCCTAGACAGCTGAAAACACTGAAGAATCAAAAAAGTCTAACCCTAAGTTTAAAATAAAAACACTGAAAAGAAATACTGCAACTATTTACTAAAATATTCAATAACACAATAAAACACTGGGTAGTGGAAGGATTAATCTGAAAGATATATAATCATTTCACAGTGAGGTTTAAGTACTCATAACAGTCTTCTGGTTTTAGTAGCAACAGACACCCACTGATGTGTTTCTTTTCACATTTGTTTTCCATAATTTCTTCCTGTCTTCTATTTCATACAAAGAAGGGGATTAATGTGGTCAAAGACTACACTATCAATTCACAATCACCTCTTATTTTGCCTTTACTTCGCTGGGCATCAAACCCTGGGCCTCACACACACATTAAGCAAGTGCTCTGCACTGAAATACCCCAGCCTGGACAACTCCTTCTGCTTCCCCATTAGGAAATTACCTTTATCACTTAACTGTGACTCAAGGGAAGGAGGCACCGAGCTGAGTGTCACTGATCAAAATGGAACAAGCACATTACATTTATTCCCATCTGGACACACTGTCAGAAACGTGGTAAGTGAGCTGGAACTCCAGAGTTCCCTAAGGGGTCATCAGTTAGAGACATAGTACATTCTTTTATCAAATCTGGCATTGAGATTTCCTTTTCCATACATAGGTTTAAAAAATAAAATTAAAACCACAGGAATAACCCTGATAGAGAGGTCTTGCATGCAGCCTTCTCCTGAGAAAGTATGTAAGTTTTAGTTACTGAACGTGCTTATCTTGTTCATGTTAAAAGGAAAATCGTTGAAGGGCCCAGTCCAACTAAAACAGTCTTTGAGTTTATGGGTCAGTTTGTTAAATGTCAGAGCTCTTCACATTGTTGAAGAAAATATATTGTCTGTTATTACTTAACCTTACGGTTTCCTGAATGCTCTATCAGTCAACATAAATGAGTTGCGAGGTGAGAGTGTTCCCACCTGTTTACAACAAGCTCCTTGGCAGAGACCACCAAACCAGTGGGGTCAGTTGCCAAGCCTCCTTTGTAATGGCGCTAAGTTCCTTTTTCCTTAAATAGAAACAAAACTCCTGTTTTGACACTGGGCAAACATAATGCACGCACCAGAATCCTTCTGCCCATGCTGGGGGCACAAGAATTCCCACCTACCCCAAAGGAGGCCAGATTACCGCACTGCATCCGATACATAAGCCATCCCCTAGCTGCACCAAGGCCTCCTACCTCTGCCCCCACATCCACTACTCCCCTACCATTCCCCTTAAGCACCAAGTACTATCCATTTACTTCACAAGTACTGACTAGTGAGTGGCTCTCTGTCCCCTTGGCCTCTCTGGCAAATGCACAAGAGGGGAACAGATTTTATAAAATAAGGCTTTCCCCTGAGGTGGGTTGGAGGGGCCGCAGAGAGGCTCTTTAAGGTCAACGAGATGGTCTCCCGGCAGTCCTGCATCTAGTCTGCAAATCGTTGAAGCAGGTGGTCCTCCCGCCTCAGGCTGCCACCAGCGCCACCGCCAGCATTGTCCATAAAGCGTTCGCAGGGGAACTCGATGAGGTCAGCCTCGCTGAGTGCGCACACGGTGGTGCGCGGCCGGTGTGACTGAAATCCAGAGAAGTCGGCAGAGACTCCGGTGCCCATAGAGCGGAGAGGCCGTCGGGTGGAGTACATGTGCCGAACGTGGACCGGGGCCCCGCCCTTCCGCCTGGCCCGCAGCTTCCTCCGCAGCCAGCGCGACCCCCAGGCCGCCAAGGCTAGGAACACCAGCAGCGCGTTGACGGCCAGCAGAGCCAAGGTCAGCAGCTGATAGTCGACGCCGCTCTGACTACTAGGCTCCGGCAGGGTGACCAGCCCTGCGCAGTGGTCTCTGGGGGCCACGGGGCAGACTCGGCCCCCGAGCACGCCTTCGACACACACTAGGTAGGGGGTGTCTCCGCGCAGCTCACGCAGCGTGGCCGAGTCGCTGCGCTCGGGCAGGTAGACGAAGCGGTGGAACTTGGGCTGTTGGCCAAAGCGGTCGAAGAGCAGGCGGAAGCGCGCGCCGCCCAGGGGCCGGGGGCTGCGGTGCGCCCGAACCTCCCAGCGCACCGAGGCGCTGTTGGCGTCCACCGCCTCTACCGTCAGGTTGCACAGAATGAACTTATTGAAGTCACAGGGATCGGACACCAGCGGCGGCAGGCCAACCCCGCCGTCGGACTGCGCACCGCGCTCCTGCAGCTCGGCGGCGGCCAGGCGCTGCTTCGGTGAGCGCTGCCAGGGGTCGCGGGCCGGCAGTGACGCAAGGGCGGGCTCGGCCGTCGGGGTGGGTTCCGCGCGGGCGCGGGCGCGGGCGGGGGAAGCGCCGGTCGGACGTCCCGCCTCTGGCTTCTCGTGCAGGTCCAGGGGCTGAGGAGCTGGGCCCATGGCAGGAGCTGCAGAGGGGCCCGCGTGCTGCAGGAGGCCTGGACCCCGCCGGCTGAGCCTTAGAACACTGCGGTTGCTCACGAGCTCCCTGGCGGCCGCGTCCCAGGCCACCCCAGCTAGAAATCGCTCCCGCTGTTGGGGCAGCGGCTGCGGTGGCAACTCCTCTGCAAAACCTCCTGCAGGGGGCGTCATCTCCTCCTCCCCCGCGGCTGTGGGGAGGAGCCGCCCCCTGCTTTCCGCAGTCGCGGATGCCGAGGGCGGGGGATCCGCGCAGGACCCGTTCTGCAGCTGCTGGTCATCCAGGTAATCCAAGTACTTGCCCCGCAGGGCCGGGGGATGGCGACACTGTACGAAGACGGTGAGAAGCCGGCCCTGTGAGTGCCAGTCGCCCATCCAGCGCTTCAGGCCCCGCAGCCGGCAGTCGCAGGTCCAGCCGTTGCCGTCTAGATCCAGCCGGTAGAGAGCCGGGCTGGCAGCGAAGATGTCCCCCGAGAGGGCACTGAGCGCGTTGTCGCGCAGGTTGAGTTCGCGCAGTCGGCCCAAGTGGCCGAAGATGGCAGGGTGCAGGGCAGACAGCTCGTTGTCGCTTAGGTCCAGCGCCTCCAGGCTGTGCAGAGGTTCCAGCAGCGCCAAGGGAAGTTGGCTTAGCCGATTGCCCTCGAGGCGCAGCTCGCGCAGGGCCTCCAACCCCCAGAAGGCCTCAGTCGCGAGGTGTGTGAGCTGGTTGCCCCTGAGCGAGAGCAGGCCGAGGCGCGGCAGGTGCTGGAAGACGCGCGGGCCGAGGTGCTGCAGGCTGTTGGCCGAGAGGATGAGAGTGGAGAGGGAGCGCAGCGGTGCGAAGGTGGCCGCGTGGCGCAGGGAAGGCTGCAGCTCGTTGGCAGACAGGTTGAGGAAGCGCAGCTTGCCCAGCTGGGCAAAGGCATTCTTGCTCAGGAAGCGGATCCGGTTAGACTCTAGATGTAGGTACAACAGGTTGCCCAGTGGGGCGAAGACTGCGTCTGGCAGCGCTTCCAGGACGTTCCCATCCAGCCGCAGCTTGACCAGACTCTCCAAGCCCTCGAAGGAGCCCCGGCTTAGGCGGCTGATCTCGTTGCCATTGGCATAGAGTATGCGCAGCTTGCGCAGTGGGGCCAGTGTGCCAGGCGCGAGTGCCTGCAAGAGGTTGTTTCCCAGGTAGAGCTCCTCCAGCCGGGAGAGCTTCTCGAAGGTCTTGGGGTGCAGAGAGCGGATCTGGTTGTACTGCAAATCCAGCCTTCTGAGCTGCCCTAGGCGGTGGAAGTCGAAGGCGGTGATGTTAGTTATGAAGTTGCCTCCGAGGCTGTAGGTGAGCACATCCTGGGGGCTAGGCAGCGAGCTGGTTTTGGGCACTGCGCGGAGCCCCCGGTTGGTGCACAGGAGGTGCTGGGGGTGCTGGCAGTCGCAGCGCTCGGGGCACACCGGCTCGGCCCACGGCGGGAGCGCGAGGCAGCCGCACACCAAGAGCAGGAAGCGCACGGCGCGGGCAGCCTCCATCGCCGCCCGCCTTGCGTGCTGCGGCTGGATCGACCTCTTAGCCCGCCGGCTTCGTGTCTCCTCTGCATTCCCCTTGGCCTGGCCAGAGTCGCTAAATGGCCTCTTTCGGACTTCACTGCGCAGTCCAGCCCCTCCTCCGCTCTTTGTCCGGTGGCTGGCCCTTGTCTCTGCAGGCGGGCTTCACCGGGCCAAGTCAGGCGGCACAGAGCGCTCCTCGAGCTCCGGGTGCTACTTGTTGCATTTCTGCAGAAAAGTGTTTCTCCGGGTGTGCATCGGGGACGTGGGAGGGAGCAAGCTGTGGTGCTTTTTGTTTGCAGCGGAGCCCGGAGAGCTGGATTCCCTGGCGCGGATTCTCCCTGCCCAGCGGATTCCCCAGCTGCAGGAGGGAGCCCTTCCAAGAGCTTCTCGGGGGCGCGGCTTGGCCGTGGAGCCCCGCGGGCTCGGCCCCCGCAGCCCGCACCTCCTCAGTCTTTCGGGGACTCTGAGCGCAGCGCGGGTGGAACCGCCCGAGGAGCGCAGGCTGCGTCCGGAAGGGACCCAACTCAGCGAGTAGCGAGCAAACCGGGCGGAAATTTCGTTCTTCCCACACGCTGCCCCCCGGGGACGCGGGTGGAGAAAAAGGAGACGGCGGAGGGAGGACAGACCCCGGCAGGGGGAGGAGGAAACACTAACTGGCTCCGCGTCTAGTCAGCCTGAGCCCGGGACGCCAAGTGAGAAAAGTAGGGATTAAAAACAGCTGTACGGGTCGCACACGCAGGGCTGGGGGCGGGGGTGGATTACCGGGCGAGCAAACGGGATTTGCAGACAGAGACCTTTTTATTTTAAGCGAGTACACCAGCCGCTGCGGCGCTGTAGGAGCGCGCTTGGCTTTACCATTTTAACTCGCCGGCTCTCCCAGGTGCGGGCCTGCAGCAAGTTTGGGCAGCGCAGCATTCAAAGGCATTCTCCGGGAAGTTTGCGGGAAAACACAAGGTTGACCGAAGAAGACTGTCCTGTCGTCGGGCCCCTGAAGAGGCTACTTGAGCCTAGTTTTGTGTTGTGGTCTTGGGCATCAATGAGCTCTGGTGGAGGCGAGGCGCCGCCTTTCTAGGAGTTTAAGCTGAGTATTTGCTGGAGCCTGCTGTAGGCAAGAGGAGGAAGAAAGCTCAGAACAGGTTCTGCCGCCATGAAAGTGTCTCCTTCAGATTTTGGTGATTGAGCTCTACTAATTCTTTAGTCTCGGAGTCCTTGGGGAAGGCTGTGGTTATGTTCATATATATAAGAACCTGCACAACCCTATGAAACTATAATCTGTAGGCTCGGCCCCCTGCTTTATACCTGGATTTGCAGTGCTCTTCGGAGTCTTTAGGTCCAGAAGTGCTCGGGCCTGGATTAGTTGGAGGAGGTATGATTTATTATCAGTTGGGAATGGCACATTTTATCAGTGGCTCCTTGAGGGAAGTCCCTACTGAGAATGAGAATGGGCAAGAGATAGCTTTAATGCTGTAATCCCAGCACTCTAGGAGGCTGAGGATAGCCTTTTGCAGCCCAGCCTATTTATTTATTTATTTATTTATTTATTTTTGGTTTTTCTCCAAAAGAAAAACCGGGTACCGGGAACCGAACCGAACTCACGGTACCGGGAACCGAACTCATGACCTTGTGCTTGACAGGCAGGCGCTTTTGCTGCTGAGCTAAATCCCCAGCCCCAAGCAGCCCAGCCTATTTAGTTTACCAACTAAACAACTTGGTAAGACCCTGTCTCAACAAAACAAAACTTTGTGTATGTAGGCTGTGTTGTCAAAAATAACAGGTCGTTCTCACCCCACGGTGTTCAGAAAATATTAATTTTCTAGAAACTACTTTGAACAGCAGCAGGGAAAATAAGAAGACATCCTCACCCCAAGGCTGACATCTGCCTAGTGGAAGCACCAGTACTTCGGAAAGTCAATTAAAACTATAAGGGTGTGAGAAAGCTACAAAGACTTAAACGGTTTTTAATGTAATTCCAGTGTATCATTGCCCCAGTGAGCAATTAATACGGGGAAGTGGTAGAAGCTGGCTTTAAATTTAGAGAAAGATGAGATCACTGGCAGTGTGGGAGCAAAGACGTCATGGGTGATCAGGGAACTTGACTTTTCAGGGAGATGGGCAAAGTAAAGAAGTCCTGTTGGGGCAGTGTATCAACCAGGTTTGCTTGTGATTTGCTTTGAGTAGTGAATCAAAGGTGACTGTGTCACTCTTGGGGAACCGAGTGTGTCTTTTTTTTTTTTTTAACCAAGATGAAATATGAAGTTCCCCAGATAGTTTGGTTTTCAGTGCTTACTCTGAGAACCTTCTAACATCCCTTTAGTTCTTGACTTCTATAGAAGTGTGGCTGCATTAAGGAGGGGACCCACACCTGTGCTATGTAGTAGAAGTTCCCAGCTCCCTTGATCTAGGCCGAAAAAGTTGTAAGGAGGACCTTCAGCCTTTGCCAGCAACAGCAGTGATCCAAGGAATTCAGAGGAAAGACTAATCGAAGAATGCTGACTTCTGAGTTGAACCCAGGTATATCTGGAATGGAGCTGAATCCACCCACAACCTCCAGATAGGAAGCTGAGAGAGGCCTGGTATGGAAGAAGAATAGCAGAAATAAGATCTCACCCCTTTCCTAAGCCTATGCTCTTCCAGACCCTTTGCAGAAAACTTGCAGAGAGCCACTTGAATTTGATTAAGCATCCATCACTTACAGATACCTCTGATTTATACAAAGTTATCAGACCTATCAAAGTATTCAGTATCTTTTACCGCTTGTACTTTGTATTATTACCCAATGTTTAGTATTCCCACCAGTAATCCTGGATTACTGCTGGTGAAATAATGTTGTACATCATTTCATGGCAAAAGATAATTGCTCTTCCATCATGTCCCATTTTCTTGAAGCTCCCCATCTGGTGCATGTAGTTGACACTGTTGACAATGGATAGAGCTTCCCATGCTTCAGGTAACCGTGAAATGTGAACTGTTTCCCATAGGTGTTGCTCACAACTCCACTCAGTTTCAGGGAGAATAAGATTTTGAAATCTACAGATAAAGTGACAACAGAGCTGTGCATACAAGTTTTTTTTTTTTCTCGAAAAGTATGACTACCATCTTTTAAAGGAATGTTCCTTTTTAAAGGCATGTGTCCTAGGGCTGATATTACAAATGAATGATATTTTAATATTTTAAAGAAAATTGATGTGGTATCTTTACAAGCCCCTGTGGCTTCCATTCCTCTAGTGGTATAGGCTCAGGTGCTTAAGTTATTTTGAGGCCATGTTCTCTTTTAGGTATCATAGTGAGATTTTACTTGAATCCAATAGTACTTAAAGCCCCTGGTAGTGAAGAATTGTAACAGCAACTCCAAAATTACATTTGCTTAGAATCCTTATTGCTGCTGATGAGCAGAAGAGAAGTGGTTAGTGAGGACTTGCTTTGGGCCATATCTTAGGATGAGGAGGGGCATGAACAGTTGATAAATACAGAGCTCGAAGTCAGGGCAGCTTAGTGGAGAAGCTGACAATCAAAGAGCAGTGACAGCAGCCAGTGATAGTGATATAGGGGGAAAAAACTCCCAACCTGAACGATATCTGGGACAAGTTCGTGTTCTCTAAATTCGAAGAATGAATTTTAGGAATAACAGAGGTTAAGAGCAGAATATATTTATTAAGGGAAAGAAGGCTTCTGTCCAAGAGAGGGACAGAAGGGGGGCCGAGTGGGGTTGCCCAGGATCTTGTCCTTCTCAGGGATTTTATAGAGCAAAACCATGAGGTGAGGTGGGTCCAAGGTAGGGGGAAAATGGGAAGTCACAAGGTGGGCATGAGGTGGGACAAAACTATGGTCAGCCAATAAGATTACAAGTATAATTGTTCAGGTAAAACTGATTGAATTTTGATCAAATGGGGAATCGAGTCATGTAGCAAGTGGGTGTAAATACAGAACAGGGACTTTTCCTGTAGGGAGTTGGGCCAGTGACCCTTCCTGGCTTTTTCAAGGTAATTGCTACCTATTTAGAATGTCAATCCCTGAGGTCCATCCCTAGGGAAGTATGTGGGCCCATCTGTTTAATCTTTTTTCCACAGCTGGAGGTGTCTCTCTCCCCTACAGTTGCAAGGTATGTCATCTTCCCCACTGGCTCCTCTGAGGGCCTAACCTTGTCTGACTGCCTATAATAATTTTAATATTTCTGTCTAACTCAGCTACCTATAACAATAGGACCTGAGGGATGCAGCCTGGTCAAGGGGCACCTGGCTTTGGCCCAGGAAGGCTTCCCAAGCAGGAGAACTGTGTGCCCAGCTTGGGGTGAGTGGTATTACCTAGCCAGAGCTGAGCGAGCACTCAAAGAAAGGAAGCCAAAAAACACACAAGAGAGAGATTTGGGAACTTCCACCCTTCCATCTTCCTTGTTGGGGTGACATTTGTTAACGTTTGCATTCTTAACAGCATCAGACAACCTAGCTTGAACAATGGCCTGAAATAAATGTTCCTTTGATCCCATATAAGGATTTCACCAGGAAGCTGAACATGTCCTATTTGCACTGCCATATCCAGAGGCATCACTGCCTAAATAAACAACGTGGGTGTTATACAGGGAGAATGTCTCCCTGGCTCTTGCCTTCTAGGTCCTTAAAACCTGTGACAGTGATATCACAGGGTTGCATAAGTGTGGATCGAGCATCCAGACCATGGTATTTACCTATGAGCATATATACATAGGCATCATATAGATATTATACATAGAGCACCACCCTTGACCAGGGCAATGTGGGCTCCCACTCTGTACTCTGTGCTTTCAAAGGCCATATGCCAGTCTTCTGGCAGTGCCGTTCCTCCTTAGAGCCTCGTAGAGGATGTCTTGCCATAGCCCACAGCCCCAACTCAGCTAAGTGTTCCTGGGCCCCTGGAATTTTCTGTGCAATTTTCTAAGTCTGACTGGGCCTGGTCCCATCATTCTCCTGGGAGCTGGTCATGTGACAAGTATATATTCCCCTAGGGCCTCGGGGAAGCCCCAGGGGCTGCTGTGTGAGAAAAAGCTGGAGCTGTATCCTGGATTTCCCTGTGGTAACACAGGAGTGAGAGCTGGAAAGAAGGGCTTGGACCTCTTTTCACCTCAAATAACGAGAGTGGAGTGGAAAGAAAGCATATGTTTGATTTAGAAAAAAACGAGAAAAATTATAGGAGTTTGAAAGAAAGCATGTTTTGGGAAATGTAAACTCTCTATTGTAACATAGGCTAAGCCTAATTTTCTAGGAAAAACAATGCTCTTTAGTAAAACTAAGGGCATAGCCATCTCCATCAAAATAATTTATCTTAACTAAGTGGTGTCTTTGTTAATGGGTAGATCCAGGCTTGATCAGGTTCCAGGACATTCAAGTATTGATTACATTTAAATGTATAATTAGCATAATCACAACTGGAAATTCAGGAGGAGTGCTATTCAAAAGTGAAACAGTATTTTTTTCCCCGCTTCATTTTTGGAAGCTCGCACTTTAAATGTCAAGTGCACTGGGGGGTAGTTTCAGAGGTCAGATGCACAGACAGACGAGTTCAGGCTGGCTTATGACAGGTAAGTGTGGTGTAAGGACTCTCAGTGCTCTTGCCCGGGCATGGTATCTTGGCTTGCCAGGGATGTATGCCTGTGTTTTCCTGAGGAATTTGCCATTTCCTTTGACTTCACCTATAGAGGCATGGAGGATTCCATATCTTCAGTAGCCCCTGGAGCTGTCCTCAGTTGGCCCAAGCAGTGCTTTGGTGCAAGATGGGTTAGGGGAGGATAGCTGTGGCCAAGCTCCCCCTACAGGGGGGTCAGGAGGTAGAGCTGGCCAAGCCTGCTGGAGGAGCAGCATCCTGGAGCTTACCCAGGGCAGCCTGTAGGGATGGCAGCTGTTTCCTCACCCTTGTGAGCCAACACCAGGCAGGTAGTATGGCCCCTGACAAAGATGAGGTAGGAAATGGGAGCTTCCCCAGGGGTCTGTCTGTATGTCAGTAAGTGACCCCTAGAGTTACCTTTCTCTGTGTACATAAGCTCATCTTAATCCCAGCCTGGGAAACAAGTTCCTTTTCCTTGGAGAACTGGAATATGAATGAGACAACTGCTGGTTTACAGAGTATCTGTCAGTGCTCCTTTTGAGAAATACAGGAATGCAGGTATCTGGCTAGGTACTAGCCTTATTAAATCAGAATCTCTGGGCAGTAAAGCCACAACGTCTACATTTGTAAATTCACTAGGTGATTTTTATGCCACTCAGGTTTGAGAAAACTAACAGACAGTACTTCAAAACATCTAGTTATAATCAGGCGATCATACAGGTTGAAAATACCTTATCTGAAATGCTTGGAAACAGGTACATATCAGATTTGGGAGTTTTTGAATTTTGAAATATTTCCATAGATGTTGTTACTGGTTGAGCATCCTTAATCCAAAAATCCAAAATTTGAAATGCTCTAAAATCTGAAAATTTTTCAACAAAAATTCAGATTTTAGTGTTTCAGATTTTGCATTAGAGCACTAGGGATGAGCAAGCTCTAACAGCAATAATGATAATTGATGTTTATGTGGTACATAACTGAGAGCCTCCTAGTGATCTGAGGAGTTAACATAAAAGGATTCATTTGTTTTAGTAAGGTAAGAAACTATAAGGTAGAAACTTGAACATATTAGTTAGATTCTGTTATTGGGACAGAATACCCAACACTGACACTTTGAAGGAGAAAAGTTTTAGTGTAGCTCATGGTTTCAGGGGATTTGGTCCATGATCAGCTGAGTCCAAAGCAGGAACATCACAGCAGAAGGGCGTGGTGAGGAAAGCTGCTTGGTTCATGGCAACCAGGAAGCAGAGCATGGGAGGAGCACCTGAGAGAAAAGGGTGGGACCAGATACGGAACCCAAGATCACCCCTCCATGGCTCACCCAGACACATTCAAAGGGTACTCCCCCAGTCCTCCAGGTGGGTGCCAAAGGCAATCAAACTGACTGTCTTAACCACCCACATATGATTATCTATATTTTACAAAGCAGATCTTAAAAACTACAGGCCCAGCCCATAGAACTTTTAGAACAGAGCCTGCAGACTTTACTTAGCACATCCCAGATATCGTCTGGTAAAAATTTAAGCTTAGGAAGCACTGACCCTTTTAAGGACTTGTTGGGGCATTTCATTATTTTCTTTGTTAGGAGGAAACAGGAGTGAGACAAGACCCACATCTTCAGAGAGCTCAGCATGGCTGAGGAGATGAATATATATACACCAGTGATCCAGGAGGCAGTGCCATCATGGGTAAAGACAATGGAATAGCACTTATTTTTTGAAAGGAAAATAATAGAGACCTAAAACGTTTATAGAAAGCAAACACTCCGTATGTTTCAGGCCCTTTACAATGTGAATGCTCCCAACACTCTGGATTTTTACTTCTGAGGAAAATTCATCAGTCCAAAGAAGCTTAATTATTTGAAACCAAAATGTATGAACAGTTGGTGTATCTATGAGAACTACAGCAAACTGTAGACTCTCTGGAAGACCAAAAAGGAAAGGCAGATGTTGACTAAACATAATGACTTAGGAAATAAGGGAAATCCACAGGCTGTTTATGGTTGCAGTATAGCGTTTGTTTATATGTAACTGAAATTTTATAACAGCAATATAATGTTGTTTTCCCTACAATGAAATGGAGTCAGTAGCCTATGGAAATGCTTCAGGCATAAAAGTATCTTTACTCTTAAGTACTAAAATATTTGTCATCTCTAAGAACCAGACCCACGATTGTGCTTTATGGTACTGCTTTTTACTATTACTTGGATTTCTACATGCTACAGTAATGATATTTATTTACCCATTTACAGCCCCATCAATCTGGAAGGGCAATAGCCTTGCTTTCTTTCATTCTGGGGCTGCTCAGTAACAGATACTGACTTTTTAAAACTTCCATAAAATAAAACAAGAATGTTAATAGTTGTTGGCTTTAGATGATGAGAAAATAGTTTCAATTTCATCCTATTTTTTTCATGTTTTCTCAATATGTATAATTACTGTTTTTCTTTGAAATTTTTTTTAAAATGTAAATGTTTTCATCGCTAGTATCTGCTTTCATACTAATATAAATATCAACTAGAGGAGAATTATTCATATCCCCAATTTTGAGAAGAGGATGCGAAGAGCTAGAGAAGTAGTTAACTTCTAGAACCATCTGCTGCTGCCTGGCAGAGTGTAGATCACCACCTGGATTGTGGGGTTCTGACCCCAGGATTTTTGCAGATGGCCCTTCAGAGACTCCTCATTAGCACTCACTATGTGTACAATGAATGGGGCTGAGAGTGGAGGCGGGGGGCGTCATTCAGAGTGTGGAATGATTGGTACGGTAAGGCTTTGGTCAGTTAGCTGTAGGCACTGACTATGCAGGAGGGACAGCAGCTGTGAATAACCTGCCCAGCTATGCTGTGGTCCACCTCCTGCACAGGGACTCCTCTGTACTTGATTGGCCAGCCTTGCTTCATCCTTCCTCCTTCCTTCCTTCCTTCCTTCCTTCCTTCCTTCCTTCCTTCCTTCCTTCCTTCCTTCTTTTCTTCCTTCCTTCCTTCCTTCCCTCCTTCCCTCCTTCCATCCTTCCTTCCCTTCCTTTGTTCTTTTCTCTCTCCATCCTTTCTTCCTGTCTTTTTCAGCTCTGGGAATGTACCCAGGACTTTTATACTAAGCTACATCGCCAGAGACCCCCTTTCCACTTAAAGAAAAATTTTTTTTGAGACAGAATTTGCTAAGTTGCTGAGTTTTCCAGGCCGGGCTTGAACTTGTGATCCCCCTGCCTCAACTTCCAGGGCAAGTGCAGTGAGATCTGGAAAGGAAAGGAGACAGCAGGGGAGGGGAGGGGACTGGAGGGGAGGAAAAGCGAAGGGGAAGACAAAGGAAAGAGAAGGAGAGAAAGAAAGAGAGAGAAAGGAGAGGGAGGAAGAGGAGGGCTGGGGTAGGGAGGGGATAAGAGGAGAGAAAATGGGAGGGGAAAAGAAAAGGAAACAGAGAGGGAAAGGCAGGGGAGGAGGGGAGGGTGGAGGGAGGGGAAGGATGCACCACTGCACCTGCTTCAATTAGACTTTCTGATTGGTGCTTTCGTTATGTATATTTTTCTGCAATAGTGACAATTTATGTAAGTCTTGAGCACAGTAATAAGGAACAATGAGAAACAACATACAAAATCTTCTGGGTCCGGGTGCTTCCAAGTCACATACTTGCCTAGGTCCAGTTTCATCACAGTCCCTGAAACTTCACAGCAAAATGTTGACGAGATGGGAAATGAGGATCAACCCCCACAAAACATGAGTTTGGTTTTTAATTTATGTACTAAAAATTGTCTCCTACTCTCTTAAATGAACTCATGGATATTTTGAAGGGGATTTAATTCTTAAAAGATTAGCTGGGTATGGTGGTGCATGCCTATAATCCCAGTACTCTGGGAAGTGGAGGCAGGAGGATCAAAATTTTGAGCTCAGCCTGGACAATTTAATGAGACACTGTCTCAAAATTTAAAAAGTTACAAAAAGGCTAGGGACGTAATTTAGGGTCAATCCCCCAGTGCCCCAAAATAAAAATTAGTGTTTTTCTGAGAACTTGATCTGAACCATTATAATAAATGGGTTAAAGATATTTGTAGTAAGCTGCCTCGAAGCAGCAAGGACTACTGATTTAATTGGAGAAAAAGGGATTGCATGCTCCCTAAGATCCCTTCCAGCATGAAACATTAAGAAATCCATTACATTTCTTCAGTGGAGCATCGTTCAACTCATTGGAATTTGATAGTCTTTAAAAGAATATTGGTTTACAGGATTAGTAACTCATCCTGAAATTTTCAAAGATTCATAACCAAAACCTGGATATACATGTGTCAAGCCCCTCCCCCCTTTGTTTTATCTACAGATGTCTCCTTATTATTCAAAAGTCACTCTGGAGCCAAACTGAGGGAAGCATTTCCTTACCATGCTGCTGAAAACTGTGGTTCCATCCTGCCAAGAACATCCTGTCAATCTCAGTAATGGAAATAATCTTGGACAGTTAAGTAATTGGCTATATACATGGTAAATACCCTAAAAGTGTTTGCAGATTTCATCAAAAGCCCAAATATTGTTTTACTTAAAACTAAGAACATGGCAAGAAGGAAATTAGAGGAAGGAAGCATCCGTTCCCCCCCGCTTTCCAGACTCTCTGTAATTTTCTATGACGATTTGCACTTTGATTATGCTTAGTAACGCCATATGCTGGAACGGGATGCAAGATCAAAGACACCAACCACAGCACTGCAACCCTTGCTGCAGGCAGGATCAAATATTCCTGTTGGTAGAATGCTAATAGGTTCGTGAAGACACTCCCCATGGCCTCCACCACCCCTACTTCATTTTCAAAATATAATTGAGAAACCTCAAACATGAATGTTCTTAGCATCTCTTTTATTGTCTGCTGTCACACTCTGCATATTGAAAAGATATTCTTACCACTTACATATTTTGAACTAAGAATATTCAAAACCTTACTGCACATTGTCTAGATTTATAGTATGCATGGTCTTACCAATTTAGGGACTAAGGGCTGGCCTAACATGGCTTTCCTTTTGTTGATGAGCATGCAGATACTTCATCTTGTTTTTTTCTACAATCAAAATTTTCTAAAATGAACATTTATTTTTAACAGTTGAAAATCTTTGGTAAAATTATATTTGATATATATTTGAAATAGTCACTATTCATCTTAATTTATGATTGGTTATATAATTACCTGCTGTACATTGACCTGTGCAATAAAATAGAATTGTGTATGTATAGTTGACTTTTGGATATCTGAAATTCCCAAGCTCAATTGCAGTGGGTATAAATGATCAGCATAAGGTTGTGCAAACCTGTAAGGAGGTAATAGTAGCAGGCAGGATATGTGAAATGGGATCAGAGGGCTCACTGTGCAGAAGCCAATCTTATTAGACTAACACTGGTGCTGTGGAGTGAAGTACTGTGGTGTGAGGGCTGTGCGGTCATAAAAGGAAGGCTCAGGAGATGACGCTGGAAGAAAGGCTGAGTGCTTGGACTTGTTTTCCTTTATATGGAAGTACTTTTTTCTCATGTACAAATAAATGCATATCAAAGACTTGAACATCATTCTCTCAAAATTTCAGGATTTTTTGTTTTAAGGCTGTCTTTTTGTGTAGTAAAGACTTGCCCAAATGGCTCCCAAGTTGTATGAGGATCTCTGTATGTTTCTTCTTTTGAAGTCTCATTAAAAGTCAGTTACCAAATGCAAAAAACAAAAAAATAAAAAGACTATATTTGGTGCCATATTCATTCTTGCTTTTCACATTTCTCTCCTGTTACAAATGGTTTCTCTTATAAACCTTCTTTTAAAAAATCAATCTTGGTAATGGCAATAACCTTGGATAGTCTGTTTGCTATGTATGGTGTAAATATCCCCAAAGCATTTGCAGATGCCATAAAAGCCAAATGTGAGTCATAAACTATGGTATCTGTATGATGAACATGGGGGTAGGAAGATGAGGTCCAGTTACAGTATCTCTGCCCTTCAGCCACAGCAGTCTCTGATCTGTGGTTCATTTTTCTGATCTATAAAAGGGGACAAATCATATTTGCTGAATACAATTTTTAGGAAAATGTATGTGGAAGAACAAAAACATGACAAGTGCTGTAAGAATAGGATTAGTCTTGATGTTGTAACATGCACATCCTTCTCTGTGAGAACCCTGGAGTCCTTAAGGGTAAGACCCACACTTATATATAGCCTCTTATGTCCTGTATAGCACCCAACACAGGGTCTTTTCTTAAACTGTGGGTCTTTAATAAATGTTAGACTGAGCCAAAAGTCTTTGGCTGTTTTGTGCTACTGTAGTGAAATACCAGAGACTGAGTAATTTATGAAGAACAGAATCTTATTTCTCACTATTCTAGCAGCTTATTTCTCACTATTCCATGAAAGGGCTTGAGGTTCATTGTCTGCTGAGTGTCTGGTCTCTGCTCCCAAGAGGATGCTTTGAATGCTGTACCCTCACATTGCGGAATGTAGTTGGGTAGCACAAACTGCCTTTGTCAGACCCTTTATAGAGTCATTTGATCCCATTCCCCAAAGCAGAGCTTTCATGGCTGTCACCTCGCAAAGGCCAGACATTCAAATCCTTTCACATTGGCAACACCTGAGTTTTGGAGCGACCACATTCAAACCAAAGTAAGGAGGAAGCCACATTCTCAGGTTCTTCCAGCTTCCCTTGTAGGTTCTGTTTCCATCTTTTTGTTGTTTCATGGCACTTCTGCAGGTCACCTGGAACCAAAGAATACAGTCTTCAGCAACCAGGTTCTCCAGCTGCTCATATGGACTTAGGTGTGGTGCAGGCTCTGCAGTCACTTCATGCACATGCCAAGTCACTTGACCTTAGTGGGAGTCAGTTGCCAGCCCCGTGTTTGCCCAGAGGGTTCTTATCCTCAGTCATGGCTCTTATGATGCAAAAAGATTATGTGAGGAAAAAGAGGAGTCTCGCTGTCAGTGCCATGACCAGGTCTCAGACACTCAGTGTACAGGAGCACATTTAAAGCTTTGAGAACTCCTGCAGAAAATTGATAAGAAACATCCTAGCGATGGCAGGTAGGACTGTTGACCTGGCTTAAGGGACAGTGGATTAAATTTCTCTCTGATCCCTTCCAGCTTTAAACCTTAAAAGAAATGTTTGCATTTCTTCATTGGAACATTATTCAATTCATTGGAACTTATCAATGATACAGTTCTTTCAATAAGTTGTTTTAGTTAATCTGCATGTTACACAGCAGACAGTGCTTTTCCAGGTTATGGCTGACTGATCTCAACAACTCATGGAATACAACCAGTTTAATATTAATCCACAGTGAACAGGGAAATATATCACAGAGTTGACACCAGTGTTTAACAGACCTGGACAGCTTCTTTGTTTCAACCCTAAGCAGTCAAACTAAGAAATCAATAGACCATTCTTTCCACCAGGATATAGGTGTTAGAACCCCACAGCTGAAAGCACCATTTGGCAAGTTATCAATTCTGAGCTAAATAACTCTTGATGCTTCAACAGTTTAACCACCTGCTAGTGTTTCCTGGGAACTTAGACATTTGGGAAAAGTTCAGTAGTGATCCTTAAGGGTAATTACTCCAGTGTGCTCTGCTGTAAAAACTCCAGTGATAATCAGTATGTGAGTCCCATTATTCCTTGAGGTGGTGGCATGCAAGTATCATCATTTTCCACTGAGGACAGGTGGCTACAAACATCTGCCAGAAGAATAATCATTAATAAATGGTGATTATGGACAGGTGGTCATATGCCAGGCACAGTGCTAAGCCATCTACAAGCAATAAGTCATTTAATCCCCAAGGACTCATGAGGAAAGTACAGTTATCAATCCCATCACATAGATAATGTGATTGAAGTGAAGAGAGGTTAAATAACTGCTCCAAGGTCACATTGCCAGAAAGTGACAGAGGTGGGACTTCCACTCACATTTTGTGAAGATTCATACGTATGCTTTTTGTATGAATCTTTGGCCAGAGTGTCCTTGTCATTGCTGGAGTTACTTTTGGGTATAACATCTTTTTTAGAAGAAATCACAATTCTGGGCAACAAAGGCAAGTCAGGGGGCACACAATCCCTGACCTGAAATTATACT